GGGCGGCGGCCGGGCTCCCCACCCCGCCTCCGCTGCCTGACCCCCCAGCTGCACAGGCAGGCGCTGGAGGACAACCGTGACCACGCTGTCACGGAAAGGCACACGCCTCAGAAAGCCTGGGGGCTCATCCAAGCCGGCCCTTGAGCCCACGAGCTCTCGGCTATCAAAAACCCAGGATTCCCTTTCTGCAAAGGGAGGCCAACTGGCGCTTCCCCTGACCCGGGTCCATCTTCTCGCCACCCGCTAACACTGTGAACGCAGCCCTTCCCAAATCCAGCGGGACACCCTGCTCCTGGGTACCGCAGGAATCACTCAGTGCAAGCTGGGATTTAAACCTGGCTAAAACCCAGCCGGAGCAGCAAGCGATAAGCTCCCGCAGCCCCCAGACTACTTCCAGAAATAAATTAAAATAAAAAAAGAAAATGATAGCAGCAAGGGAATACCAGTTGGTTATTAACGCTGGAGAGATCACAGCGCCGAGGAGCTGGAACAGAGCACGCCGCAGGGCACATTCAACCCGTAGGCAATGCCCGAGAGGGAAGAAATTGCCATTTCAGCTCCAAAAAGCGTGGAAGTCCCCTCTGGGAGACCCTCCTGGGGACAACAGTCCCCAGATGCTGTCCTGGGCCATGGTGGAGGCTGGCTCTCTCCAGGAGCAGCCCACTGGCAGCCCCGCGCCCGTTGCTCGCTGCACGCCCGAGGAGATGCTGTGCCGGGAGCAGTTACAGAGAGCCGCAAGCAAGGGTTTGGCAGAAGCCGCGAGGCGGAGGCAGGGAGTTTTACCTGAAAAACAAATAAACCGAAAAGACACCTAGATGCTCAAATACAGGGGGGGGAATAACAGGAGGGGCAGTGCAGCAAGCATCCCAGCAGGACGGAGCAGGACACGGCCCAGACCAAACCACTCGGGGAACGACAGCACAACTGGGCTGCTAAAGGCCAGGCCCGGCTTTCTGGGAGGAGGTGGGTTTTTTTTTTTCCCCCGCTCCAACCATTTTCTTTTCTGAAGGGGGCCTGTACCAGACAGTACAGCCAAGGGCTGTGGGGAAAGGGCTTTGTGCCAACGCTCCTCCCGCAGCCCAGCACCTCCCGCTTCTCACAAGGAAGCGTCGCTTTTCCTAAACCCTCGCTTCCTAAGCCCAGCAATACTCGCGTTTGCCTTTCAACACGCTTTTCCGAAGCCAATTAAGCCAAAACACGCATTTTCAGAAGTTCCCAAGCACCGCGGAAGCAGCCAGCTTCCTGCAGCACGAGGCTACAGCTGCCCGTTCGGTTGCAGGGGGTTTGGATAAGGGGGCTCCCGGCTCACCGCTGCCCGAGTGCACAACTACAAGGGCAGTTCCTAATTTTGCTGCCACAGCACACATCACACACCGCTGCCTACACATCTAACCAGGTTATTTGCCCAAGCAGTTTTTGCAATGAAGGGTGCACCTTAGGCTCCGGGTGCTTCTACCAGCTGTTTGACAACTGCTGGCAGAGGAAGATCTGGGATGCCAGATAAGAACAGCAAAGCAAAGGCCGTGTTTTGGAAGCTGAGAGGCACTCGCCTCTGGGGGAAAAAAACCTGAGCCTTTCAAAGGGGGCAAGTTCAGTTCAGCCAAAGATTAGGGTGCCCGAGTCTTCTGCTACTTCCTAAAGCCCTGAGACAGAACATGGCTCCGGGCTTCCTACCGAGATCTCAGCAACGGGATGGCTGCTGCATCCCCTCACTCCACTTGCAGAGCGAGAAATGCTAAAAACACTAGATTGACTTGGTTTTGAACGATTTATTTCTGCTGGGAGGTGCTAGCAGGTTACAGGGATGCTGGAGAACATGGGAAGCCCAGCCTCGTGCCTCTCCGCAGGCAGAAGGCTAGGGCAGCTGACTCCTGTTATCTTGTTCCTGAAGGTCTTACTCAGATGCCAAGTCCCTCCTCCCTTCCCCCAAGAGTCACTTGACTGTGCGGCAGCTGCTCTGGCCAGCAGGAAGGTAGGATTTTTTGGAAAGTCCCCGAGGAACGGCTGCATCCCCGCGCTCCACAAAGTCTCACTTTTCCCCTCCCAGCAGCTGCCTGAACAGGCTTTGTCAAATGAAAGTATCCGGGTGCCCAACATAGGAAGAGACCCCTTGGAAATGCAGCACCAAGCCCTGTTGCAGCACAGGTTGAAATGTCTGATTGCAAAGGTTCAGAGAAGCTCTAGAGAGGGGTGCAGTGCAGGCGCGCGCGAGTCAGAGCAGGTCCCCCCGCAGCTGGCTAAACCGAGAGGGGCTGGAGCAGGAAGGGGGGGCTGGGGGGGGTGGTGGCTTTGCCCTGCAGTGACTCTACGCCAAGTGCTGTTTGCACCAGGTCAGAACCGGTGTCGAGGTTGAGGGCCAAAGTGCATAGGCAAGTTGTGCTCCAGCTGAACATTGATCTGGGGAAAGTCATAGTTCACCCTCATGTTAGGCAACGGGGGGACGTAGGGGGCAGGGATAGGGCCGATGTTGAGGGGGATGTTATTGTACATGGGACGGACAGGAGGGAGCGGGAAGGGAGGGTGCACGAAGGGGTAAGGGGGCATCCGGGGTTGATGGAGGTTCTGAGGAACAGGTCTGGGGATGACTTCAATTCTCTGGATTTTCTCCATGGGCTTTTCCGCAGGAGGGCCGATCCGCTTGAAGCTGTTCTCTGCAGAGGGAGGAGAGAAAAGAACCGGTCATCCCACAAACAAAAACTCACCAAGCTCGGTCCGTGGTCTTACATTTGCAATCGGCATCCTCCATCCCCAGCACGTTCCTTAAGCATGCTCTCTACGGCATCACTGCTTGCTCCTTCCATGCTCCCGGCACCGTGGAGCACAGCACTAGCTTTCCGGGTTGGCTCCTTTCTTCAATACCACACCACAAAGGGGGGAACACCTCCTTTTGCAGGGACGGGGGGCAGCCCCTTGCTGCCTGTGCCCCCCACCACAGAGCACAGAGGTTGTGCTGCCCTTCAGCTACTTTGCCAAGCGGAGAGGAGACAGGTCTGTGCAGCCACGACGCCCGTCGCCAAGCGAGAGCTGGACACAAGCCTTTTGCCTCCCCACGGTCCCAGCTAAAGCCTGCAGGCAACAGCACTTTACAGCTAGACCGGTTCCCAGGAGGAACAGTGTGATGGCTTGCACTCCTCTCTGGAGCAAGATTCGGGTGATGCTTGGTGCAGCACAGCAATGCACGGAGAAGCCTGAAAACAGCCAGGCCATGGGAAAAATCCAAGGAAGATCCAGAGGCTTGTCAGCAGCTGGGAACCCCATGCTCTCCTGTCGTCCTCGGTCTGATCTCAAAGCACAGGTAAAGACTGTGACTTACCTCCATTTTTCTTCCTTTGCTCCTCTTCAGCCTCTTTCTGAATCTCCTGGATTATCTTCTCATCATCTTCCTAGAAATCACAGGGGTGTCAAGAGTCAGTGGGCTA